AGGTTGCTTGATGGTATGCCAATTCTATTTTTGATTTTTTGAGCAACTGTTTTCCATAGTGGCTGTACCAGTTTACATTCCCACCAGCAGGTGCATAAGGGTTCCCTTTTTTCCACATCCTTGCCAACATGTTACTTCTTGTCTTTTTGATAATAGCCATTCTAACAGGTATGAGGTAATATCACGTGGTTTAAATTTGCATTTCCCTGATAACTAGTGATGTTGAGCATCTTTTCATGTGTCTATTGGCCTTCTGTATGTCCTTTAGAGGAATGTCCATTCAGGTTCTGTGCCCATTTTTTTTTAATCTGACTGTTCATTTTTCTTTTCATATTGAATTATGTGATTTTTTAATAATTTTGATATGAACCCCTTATCAGATATATCATTTACAATTATTTTCTCCCATTCCATATCTTGTTCTTTCATTTTGCTGATGGTTTGCTAGGTGAAATAAGTCAGAGAAAGACAAGTACCATATGAGCTCACTTATATATGGAATCTAAAAAACGAAACAAACAAAATGGAAACAGAGGGAGTTCTCTGCTGCCCTAGTGATTAGGATTCTGGGCTTTCACTGCTATCAGTTCAGTCACTCAGCCATGTCCCACTCTCTGCGACCCCATGAACCTCAGCACGCCAGGCCTCCCTGTCCATCACCAACTCCCGAAGTCCACCCAAACCCATATCCATCAAGTCGATGATGCCATCCAGCCATCTCATCCTCTGTCGTCCCCTTCTCGACCTGCCCTCAATCTTTCCCAGCTTCAGGGTCTTTTCTAATGAGTCATCTCTTTGCATCAGGTGGCCAAAGTATTGGCGTTTCAGCTTCAACATCAGTCCTTCCAATGAACACCCAGGACTGATCTCCTTTAGGATGGACTGGTTGGATCTCCTTGCAGTCCAAGGGACTCTCAAGAGTCTTCTCCAACACCACAGTTCAAAAGCATCAATTCTTCNGGCTTTGGCATAGTCAATAAAGCAGAAATAGACATTTTTCTGAAACTCTTGCTTTTTCAATGATCCAGCAGATGTTGGCAATTTGATCTCTGGTTCCTCTGCCTTTTCTAAATCCAGCTTGAACATCTGGAAGTTCACAGTTCACGTATTGCTGAAGCTTGGCTTGGAGAATTTTAAGCATTACTTTACTAGTGTGTGAAATGAGTGCGATTGTGCGGTAGTTTGAGCATTCTTTGGCATTGCCTTTCTTTGGGATTGGAATGAAAACTGACCTTTTCCAGTCCTGTGGCCACTGTTGAGTTTTCCATATTTGCTATGGCCCAGGTTAAATTCCTGGTTGGGAACTGAGATCCCATAATCTGTGCAGACAAAAAAAAAAAACAAAAACAAAAACTAGAAAATGTGAACAGACTTACAGATACAGAGAGCAAACTTATGGTTGCCAGAGGGAAGGAAGGTGGGGGGTATTATGGTGCAGTAGGTGAACAAATCATACAATATTTATTATTTGTTTCTGGCTGCTTCATATATTTTCAACGTTTATCCTTGTAGCATGTATCAAAATTTTATTTCTTTTTACAACTGAATAATAGTTCATTGCTGGTATATATCACATTTTGTTTATCCATTCATCTGTGGATGGACATTTTGGTTGTTTCCAATTTTTGGCTGTTGTGAATAATGCTAAGAACATTGGTGGCACAAATATCTGATTCAGACTTTGCTTTCAGTTATTGGTTAAAAACTGGAAGTCGAATTGATATATCATATGCTAATTCTATGTTTAATTTTTTTGAAGAATTGACATACTGTTTTCCACAGTGGCTACATCATTTTTCATTCTCATCAGCAATGCACATGGGTATCAGTTTCTCCACATCCTTGCCAGCATTTGTTATTTTTCTGTATAATACCCATCTTAATGTGTATGAAGTGGTATCTTGTGGTTTTGCTTTGTGGTATCTTGTGGTTTTGCTTTGTATTTCCCTAATGACCACTGATGTTGTGCATCTTTTCATGTCCTTATTGGCTATTTGCATATCTTCTTTGGAAAAAATGTCTATTTGAGGCCTTTGCCCTTATTGAGGGCTTCCCTCATAACACAGTTGGTAAAGAATCCGCCTGCAATGCAGGAGACCCCGGTTTGATTCCTGGGTTGGGAAGATCTGCTGGAGAAGGGATAGGCTACCCACTTCAGTATTCTTGGGCTTCCCTTGTGGCTCAGCTGGTAAAGAATCCACCTGCAATGAGGGAGACCTGGGTTTGGTCCCTGGGTTGGGAAGATCCCCTGGAGAAGGGAAAGGCTACCCACTCCAGTATTCTGGCTTGGAGAATTCCATAGACTGTATAGTCCATGGGGTCACAAAGAGTTGGAAACAACTGAGCAACTTTCACTTTCACTTCACTTTGCCCTTAAAAATAAACCCTTAAAAGGGATGTTTGGTCTTTTTTGTTATTGTTGTTGAGTTTTAGAAGTCTTCTAAATATTCTTGATATTAACCCCTTATTGTATATATGATTTGCAAGTATTTTATCCCATTCTATGGCTTGCCTTTTCACTGTCTTGAAAGGATCTTTTGATACACCTAAGTTTTTAATTTTGACAAAGTCCAGTTAATTTTTTTTATGTTTTGGTGTTCTATCCAAGAAATCATTGCCAAATTCAGTGCCATTAAGTTCTTCCCTATATTTTCTTCTAAGAGTTTCAACGTTTTAGCTCTTGAGTTGGTCATTGATCCATTTTGAAATAATTTTAGTATGTGGTATGGGGCTTCCCTGGTGGCTCAGATGTTGAAGAATCTTCCTGCACTGTGGGAGACCTGGGTTTGATCCCTGGCTCAGGAAGATCCCCTGGAGAGGGGAATGGCTACCCACTCCAGTATTCTTGCCTGGAGAATTCCATGGACATGGGAGCCTGGTGGACTACAGCCCATGGGGTTGCAAAGAGTCACAACTGAGTGACTAACACTTTCACTCTCACATGTGGTATGAGGTAAAGCTCCAAATCCATTCTTTTGCATGTGGATATCCAGTTTTCCCAACACCATTTCTTGAAAAGAATGTTAATTCCCCATTGAATGGTCTTGGTACCCTTGTCAAAAATCATTTGGCCACATACATGCAAGGGATTGTTTCTTGGCTCTTTATTCTGTTTCACTGGTTTGTGTGTCTGTCTTTATGCCAGTGCCATACTGTTGAGATTGCTGCAGTTACTATAGTAAGCTTTGTGTGGTATTGTGATTTATAAGGAATATAATTGGTCATTCAGATGACCAAGATATATTTCTCATATATATTTGGTCTCCATCCACTGTCCCTGGCTCACAGCTCCTGAAACCCTTGAAATTTCCTGAATAAGAGCAATGAGAACACCTTTTGTGATAATGTTTGGTCTCTTATCCTCAGTTCCTGAAATCCACTTTAGAGCCATTATGGTGAAATGCGTGTTTTGTTATTCATTTGTTGTTCAGTTGCTAAGTTGTGTCTGACTCTTTGGGACACCATGGACTGCAGGACACCAGGCTTCCCTCCCTTTTTCCACCACAACTGGGTTTATGTTAATGAGATGACTTTTGGAAAGCACCAGAGATACTGACCCATTGCCAGAGGAACCAACCCTGTGATTAGAAGTTGTAATATTCAGTCCAAACCTCTCCTATTACTTCCTGGGAAGGGAGAGAATGTAGAATTTGAATCAACCACCAGGAGCCAATGACTTAATCAGTCATGCCTATGTAATGAAGCCTCAATAAACACCCTAAAAGGATGGGATTTGGAGAGCTTCAGACTTGGAGAACACATGGAGATTCTGGGAGAGTGGAGCACTAGGAGAGAGCATGGAAACTCTGCACCCATTCCCCATACCTTGTCCTATGTAATCCAACTGACTGTTTCTGAATTACATCCTTTGATAATAAACTAGTAATTTGGTAGATAAAGTGTTTCTCTGAATTCTGTAGGTCACTCTAGAAAATTAATTAAAACCAAGGAGGAGGCCATAGGAACCTCTGATTTATAGCCAGTGGTCATAAATACAGGTAACAACCTTGGCTTGAGATTGACATTTGAAGTGAAGGCTGTCTTGTGGGACTTGGTCTCTAACCTGTGTAATCTGATGCTATCTCTGGGTAGATAGTATCATTATTAAGTTTACTTGTAGGACACCTTGCTGACATTTGAGAATTACTTGTTGATATAGGAAACCACCTGCCCCTCCCACCTTCTGACACATACACATTGGAAATGGGTTCAGAACCACTTTAGTTAGTATCAGAGAAGTGGGATTTGTTAGAAATTCCTGGCTCACTTAAACATGTAGTTTGGGAAAAGAAAGGATGAAAAGGTGGGGGATGAGGAACCTTTGATTCATGATCATACATGGTATGGAGCAACAGCTGTGCTACAATCTGATACAAAGGGGTAAAAGTTACCAATGGAATTTAGGGATGGATCTGTAAATGAAAAATTAGTAGTCAATCTAAGAAAGACATGAAAATTTTATTTGAAGCAACTTGAGGATTATAACTGGAGAGGCAGACTTTCAGAAAGTTCTGAGGACTATCCCACTTGTTAGAGGTCAAAGCACAGTTATATAGTTTTTGAGACAAAGGATTATGTATCAACTGACATATTGATACAATCTAGGTCTGCAAGTACAAAGTGAGTAGTGGCTGCTCCTCGGCTCTCTTTAGACAGTGCCCCCGGGCTCCGGCGGGCCTCACCTGCGGCAGGTGAACCCAGGCATCCACTGGCGTGGCCGCCCCCCTCTCCTCCCCGCCCGGGGCCGAGGAGCTGTGGCGCGGGTTCTGACCAGGGGCCGCCGGCGGCGCCGGGACAGCCTCGACAGCTCCACCGAGGCCTCCGGCTCCGACGTGTTCCTGGGCGGCCGCGGCGGCGCCGGCGACTCCCGCGTGCTGCAGGAGCTGCAGGAGCGGCCGAGCCCGCGGCACCAGATGCAGTACCTGCGGCAGAAAGACACGAATGAACTGGAGATGATCCTTTGAGAACTAAAATACAGGATTGGCATTCAGTCAACGAAGTTACTTCGGCAGCTGAAGCAGAAAGATCGGCTTGTGCACAAAGTGCAGAGAAGCTGTGATGTTGTGACGGCGTGCCTGCAGGCTGTGTCTCAGAAGAGAAACTAACATGAAGTGAACTCCAAAGCAGGACTGCATCATCACCCAGTCGAAGGCACCAGGAAGGTTAATGTCGGTAGCGAGGAAAACAATGTCCTCGCCCTGAAGGGTTGTGATGGACTCGTGCTGATGCATCAGATGTGGTATGACAGCATCCAGAGAGCCTTGCCATTTACAGGAGGCGCCAGGGCATGGGCAGCAGTAAGGCCGACACTCACAGAGTTCTTCGTGGTCTGCCTTCTCCGTGTGTGGCAGAGTGACTTCACATCCTGAAGAGGCATATTTACAAGGAAAGAGGACTGAATTGGCCACTTTCTCCATAGCCAAGTTGCGGATGGATCCCAACGGGTCGAGGCAAGTCGGACAACAGGAGATCTTTGAGCGACAGTTGCCACAAACACGATGGCCACTCTGACACTGAAGGATGGGCGGTAATACGTAGTCAGAGCAGCCCGGACACTTAAAGAGACTCGCCCAGTCACTGTTGGGCGAAGTTGTGCCAGTCAGGGCGGCCACGCTCTGGGAGCTGCCAGGAGGCAACGCCGTCTGTGTCTGACAGCTCATTTCTGTGGGCGGAGAGTGCGCCTCGGCCCGGTCCTGGCTCAAACGCTCTCTGTCGCCGCCAACCGCCGCCACCGCCTCTTCCTCCGGCCAACACTGACGGGACACGCTGGGTGGCCGATGCCGCCGGAGAGTGCGCCCCACAGCGGCCGCCCCGTCTCCCCCCTGGCCTTTGCTGCCGTTTAGCACGACGGTCCTCTAGCCCGCCGCCTATTCCCGCTCAACACCACACAGTGCTGCGGCCGCCATGGAGGCGCGGCTGCCACAGGAGGCGCTCCGGCGTCCTGGAGTGGACGCGCTGTTATTCTCGTTTTGTTTTCTGTATCTGTTACCTTGCTTTCCTTTCTCAGAGATTATCTCAACTTTATTTCCCAATCCTGTTACGGAGACGTCTTTGGGGCATTGTTGTTTGAATGCTTCATGTATATATACAGTATGCTGTTCTTATAGATGTAATATATTTTCTTATTGCTCCAGGGATGATGGAGACTAAAACAGACAAACAGAAAACAGCTATTTGGAGAAAATAGGCTGTACAAGGAGGAAAAAATTTTTTCAGAACTACTGTTCTAGTTCGAGTTCCCTGAATATTTGATAGTCCTTGGCTGTCTGCTCTTAAATGTGAGGATCTAAAAGAAGGACTTAACTCGGCCTGAGCTCACCACTAGGGCTTATGGGCTTGGAGTTTAACTGAAGGGTTATGGGGATGGGACCTTTCTNTTTTCAGCTTCAAAACTCTATTGCTGTTATCTGTGCTGCTTTTTTGTTTTGTTTTGTTTTGTTTTTACTTCTTGATCCTTGTTGGTTATGTTAAACAAAGATCTCTTAACTGTAATTTTAGTGTGACTTTGATGGGGACCAAAATTAATTGGGACCAAAATTCATTGGAAGTACTGATGCTGAAACTCCAGTACTTTGGCCACCTGATGTGAAGAACTGACTCATTGGAAAAGACCCTGATGCTGGGAAAGATTGAAGGCAGGAGAAGAGGACGACAGAGGATGCAATGGTTGGATGGCATCACAGACTCGATGGACATGAGTTTGAGCAAGCTCTGGGAGTTGATGATGGACAGGGAAGCCTGACATGCTGCAGTCTATGGGGTTGCCACGAGTTGGACATGACTGAATGACTGAACTGAACTGAAAATTAGTTGGAATTTTTTTTGAATCCTCCTTAATCCAGTTGTGTGTGCTCCTTTTTTCATAAGCTCATTTGTTTTGCTAGGTGGAGAGAAATGAGCATTTTTTCAACTTTATTGAGATATAATTGATTTAACTTAGCATTTAGATTAAGGTAGATGTGACTTAACTTTGGAACATGGTTGCAGAATTGTGAATTTTGGCATAAACCTGATAACATATTTAGGTAATGTCTTGATATATGATTAGCAGCTTAGTCTGCCCTAAAGTTACTTAGTAAGACTATGACTAGTATAAAGTAAGTAGCTTATCATTACTTACAATATATTTTAACAGCAGTTTCCTCTCATATTCTTTAAGCTCTTAGTGTCTTGCTGCTGAATTATTTTTTCATTTTGTCATAATTTACTTATCCTTATTGGAAATTTGTAAAATGTTTGAAAGTAAAAAAAAAAAACAAAAAACAAAGTGAGTAGTGGGTCACCATGACTCCTTACAAGACTAAGAAGGAAGGTTATATCCTAGAGATCTGATTAGTGCAGATGCACAATACACATGAAAGGGAAGGGAGGAGGCCCAAATGGTCAGAGAAAAATTTTATGTTTACATTTTCTTGTCTTGCCATAAAATTAGAATTTTATTTAATCAGATCCAACTTCTGGGGAGTTGTCTCACTAGATGAATAAGGAAGTGCAGACTAATAAGAAAAAGGGTAAATATACAATCTCGGTAATTATCTGTTAATAGCTAAAGTAAGAGAGAGTGTTAGACCAGACCCTGATGTTAGACCAAGCTCAGATTTCAGTGAGTCTGATCTTCAGCCACCAGCCTCACAGCTGCTTCCACCCCAAGGTAAAAATTATGCAGAGGCAACAGAAAGTACCTCTAAAACCTCTAGTTACTAGGAAGGTAGTCATTGTAGGGGGAGGGCAAAACCAAAACAGTATTGAAATCAGGGGACATTAGTGTGAAGGAGTTATTTTATTTTGTAGATCAATATCATCAATCTCCTGAGGAACCTTTATTGAAATGGATTGTAAAAGCGACTAATTTAGGAGCTGTGGCTTTGGTTTTGAATGCTGCAGAGTGAAAGAGCATGTTTGGGTTGGCACAGGATGCACAGATCACTATAGAACAATCACAGATGGCTATATGTGATCCAGACACACAGGAGGTTATTCCTGAAGGAACAACTAGCCTGATAGATGGGGTAAAAATCACTGTAAGGTCTGTTTACCCTGAGAAGGGGACTGCCCATCTTTTTGTATGAATGGAAACTGGATTACCCCAGATGAAGCAGCTGATATGCTTTGTATGCAAACCATGTGGGACTGGCTTTATGAATACCAGGATATTCACCCAATGAATATACTTGTTACCCAGTCTTGGTAGATGCTATGTTAAAGTGCTCCTTTTGTATGGATACCCTATTGTAACCTTACTGCCACAAAATTGAGGGACAGTTCAAAAAGCCTTATGAAATTTACTGTCTCAGCTTCCTCTCATGGTCTTATTGATGCTAGTAAAAATATTAGATTATTAACAAGAGAATGGAGAAGGCAGCGAAGAGAATCAAGAGAATGGTTTTATCAGGGGAGAAATTTTAAACAGTTAAGGAATAAGGTGAATAAAGCTAATGTTGATAGGAGTGGAGCAAAGAAGAAAGAGTCATGGAACGCATCCTAGCAGAATGGAAATCTTTAGATAGTAATTAAGGAGTGGAATGAATAAAACAGATATTGGTGGGCTTAACACAGAGATTTTAATACAGCACTACCAATGGACTTGCTGCCCCCCCAACATTAAATAGCCCCAGATAAGTCAGCTCTGTTTACAATTTGGAGAAAATTTGAAAGCCAGAAAACAAACTACAATGAGAAATCTGACCAATCACTTAGGGCAATAGTAAGACAATCAATATAAGATTGACAAATCTCATATAAGATTTAAGACATATAACATTTTATATGTCTTATACATAAGACTTTATGACTTATAAAGTCCCTTGGCTCTTGCTAAGGATCTAAAGCCTTTTGCATAAGCTTGGATAAAATAGTCAGATGGTGGCAAAAAGATTCCAAGACTCCCTGATACAGGAGTCTACAAACTGGTACCAAAATCCATTGATGAAACCTTGACTCAGGCTGCAGTTCAACTGAGAGAACATATAAGTGTAAGGGTTAATTAAATTATGAAAGTTGGAATGTTACCCAAATCTTTTTTTAGGAATGGAAATTATGTCTGACTGGGGAATGCTTCTCTAACATAGTATTGTAAAACCAAAACCCATTGATGAAGTCCTAAGGGAGGCTACAGTTATGAATGTAAGGGTTGATGAAGTTAAGGTAAAACTTTGTAGGAGAACTGATATACTTTAATAGGTTTCATGTGAAGTGATTGCATCTTTTTTTTTCCTTTTTACTTGATTGTATTTTGGGGATGAACATTTTATCTGACTGATGAATATTTCCCATACCTAGTAGTGTAAAACAGAAGGCAGGTAAATCCGCCCTTCAAGCAGTGTTAATTGGGCATACTAAATGGGAACCAGTAAGATTGCCTGAGCCAAAACAGTGTAGAATAGAGGCTGAGGTGTTGGTAGGCTGTGTGATAGCCCTGTGTGAGGCATATAAGTTGTGTCCGCCACTTTTGCAACCCCATGGGCTGTAGTTCACCAGGCTCCTCTGTCCATAGGATTTCCCAGGCAAGAATCCTGGAATGGGTTGCCATTTCCTTCCTCACTGGGGCTTATGGCAGGAGTCTGTGAGCACCTCACAGTGACAATTACCGGCACGTGGGACTAGAAGATTTCCATCTGAGGGACATTTTGCTACCTTGCAATCAGAGATGAACTGAAGCTACCCTTATGACTGACTGAAGGGCATAAAGTGATCTTGAAACTTGAAACAGCCATAATGTCTAGGATAATGGGACTGGCAGTGCCCAGAAGCATTCCACAGTAAAATAAAAATGGTTGGTAAAGGAATAAGCTGCATGAGTGATGCAAGAATGAGGTACTCCTGAGAGCAGGGGGCCTCTTTTCACTAAGGGCTGACTCTGAAACTGAGATGCTGCTGGATTCTGTTGTAATGTGTATAGTGCCATATAAAGAGCCCTTAACTGACCAACAAAGAGCTGCTCGACTTGTGGATGGCCAGTTCCATGGGAAATGGACAATATTTTAGAAGTGTTTGGGAGGCCAGCACTCCTGATTGAAGAAGGTAAAAATAGATCAGCCTGGTGTGCTGAATTGCATGCTGTTTTCCTAGCAGTGGTGGAATTGAGAAATGGCAAAAGCCCTTATGTTTGGGTGGTTACCTACACTTGGGCAGTAACTCATGGCCTGGCCGTATGGTCAGGTAGATAGGCAATGGAAAACTGGACTATTAAATGGATGACCATGTAGGGCACAGCTCCATGGAAATCACTGGGAATTTAAGGGGGTACATTAAAGTAGGACATATTGATGCTCATCAGAAGAACCCCTTCCGAAGTTCAGAAGGTGATTGGAACCACCAAGTGGACCTTTTGGTGTGCTTCCTTGAGTTTGCCACCTAGGTCCATGAAATGAGTGGAAATGGGGGAAGGGCAGCAAGGCAAAGATGGGCTGAATTCAGATATATTTCTCTTACACCCCCTGAGGCATTGCCAATAAGAACTGTTCGTATGCCAACAAAAGAGACAGCCTGCAGATGGCTATGTGGCAGATTCACTGGGAGTGGAGGGAGGCCCTGATTATAGTTGACAGACTAATTATAGTCAGACTAATGCTGGTAGTCCTGGGGGCTACAAATGAGTCTTGATAGGAATGCAGTACTAGATATTGACTCTTTACTGGGTTTTGCCTACCCAGTGGTAGATGGCAAAAGCTCAAAGTACTGTAAGAAAAGATGTTGCACAAGTTTGGACAGTTGAGCATCACGTCTTTAGATGAAGGAACATACAGACTTTACATCACATGATGTCCATCAATGTTAAAAAAAATAACCTCTTTAGAGTCATAGTTTGATAGAGAATTGAAGTGGGCTGTTAAAATATTGGTTATCTAAAATGCAGGGGTGGGGGCTGGGTAAAGGCATGAAGGGCTGGCTTATGTCCCTTTTCAAGTATGTACTCATTCTCATCTTGAATATGAGTGGGGCTAAAAGAATGTTCCCACAGGATAGATTTCTGGTTGTTTTTTTTTTTCTGGTGGATCCAGGGAATAGGGGGTGGGGAAAATACTGGTATTCTCCCTTCTCCATATCACCTCAACTTCTTCTTTTCTGCACTACTTGTTACAATGGTTTCAGGACCAGGGCTGCCTGGACAAGGGCCTGAAACAGGGAAGATTCCTAAGCAAGAAAATGGTTACCTTTATGTCAGAATTCCTAAGGATATTAAGAAGATATGCCTTCACCCAATCTAGTAAAATTAGGGTTAACAGTGAATACAGCTATACTGCCTATTGATAGCTCACCTATGTAACTTCTGCTCATGTGTAGCCTTACCTTATCTGACTAAAAGTGAACTGAGGGAGTAGGACTTGCTAGACTACTTTTGCTGTCTACCGTTTATACTAGTACAGTGACTGAACCTAACATCCTTTCCAAAGATGGAAAAGTTTGAGTGTCAGTGAAGAGAATGAAAAACATTAGTAGCTGAGGGTTAGAAAATGAATGGGTTATGTAATCAGAGAAATTTACATGAGTATCTCAAAAGAGGCCCGGAGCAAAAGATCTCTTTTGTCTCTCGGCTCAATTATACTGGATGCCTGAAATGGTTTAGCTGTATATTGCTGATACCACTTCTGCTTTTGGAACCTGACAGGATTGAATAGAAGCCTGCAAACCTGAGTGACCTTGTGCTGGGAGACATTTTCATAAGATTTGATAATGGACTGGATGGTTATTAGTGATTGAATGAGGTTCTAGTAATGTGCTATATTTTTTTTAACATTTTTATTGTTTTTCTATAAAGGATCTGTGATATATTTGTTATTAAGATGATCAAAATCTATTTCTCATGTATATTTGGCCTCCATCCATGGTTCCTAGCTCACCGGTCCCAAAACCCTGGGAATTTCCTGAGTAATAAGAGCAGTTGGAGCATCTTTTGTCATAATATTTGGTCTCTTGTCCTCAGTTTCTAAAATCAACTTTAGAGTCATTAAAATAAAATGGGTGTCTAATCAGACTTTTTTCTCATTTTTAAAATGGATGTTTATTTTTCTATTTAGTTTTAGGAATATCTTGTATATTTTAGATATCAGTCCTTTATTATATATGTATTTTAAAGAGTTTTAGTCCCAGTCCCTGGTTTGATTTATCATTATCTTAAAGAACTTTTTTTCAGGGAAAAGTTTTTAATTTTAATAAAGTCCTACTTCACAGATTTTTCTTTCATGGATCATGCTTTCTATATTTAAGAACTTATTGCTAATAGTGATGCTCTTCGCATCAGGCGGCCAAAGTATTGGAGTTTCAGCTTCAACATCGGTCCTTCTAATGAACACCCAGGACTGATCTCCTTTAGGATGGACTGGTTGGATCTCCTTGCAGTCCAAGGGACTCTCAAGAATCTTCTGTAACATCACAGTACAAAAGCATCTGTTCTTCAGCACTCAGCCTTCTTTATGGTCCAACTCTCACATCCGTACACGACTACTGGAAAAACCATAGCTTTGACTAGACAGATTTTTGTCAGCAAAGTAATGTCTCTGCTTTTTAATATGCTGTCTAGATTTGTGATAGCCTTTCTTCCAAGGAGCAAGCATCTTTTAATTTCATGGCTGCAGTCACCATCTGCAGTGATTTTGGAGCCCAAGAAAATAAAGTCTGTCAATCTTTCCATTGTTTCCCCATTTATTTGCCATGAAGTGATGCGACTTGATGCCATGATCTTCGTTTTTTGAATGTTAAGTTTTAAGCCAGCTTTT